GTATATAATTCCAAGACGAACTGCGGATTAAATGTAAAGATTCAAACATATGGGTTGTAAGTTGTCGAATATATAGATGAAGTGTAAGTACAATTCCATCCGCATTCGCATCAGTTTTCGAGTTTCGCTATGGCACATACACTTACACGCAAAGTGAACCTAAGGAGACTGATAGCAGCCAGCCATTTTTTTCTCTAGCTCAGAGCATAAGGATATTCAGGGTCATTATCAGCCCGTTGAATCGCTGTCGTCGATGCATATGGGTCCAATGTGGCGTTTGTGCCGGTATTTTCTGCTAGAGGTAACCCTTGAGAGGCAGAGGTCTGGTTCACCATTGGAATGAAGATAACTCCACCTCAGTGGTTCGAAACTTTCCAAGAAAGCGGTCAAAACGATTGGATACCGCATTGGGCTTTCTTGAACTCGGGTTATTTGAATGTTTGCCGTTGCTGCGGCGTTGTGCATGAGCTAATTAGCTTTTTCAAGCCGATCATTTATAGGGAATTGTGGTTCAACTGAGTCTTAGTTACCCTTACAACAATCGGAACAAAGATCGAAAACTGATCGCAGCTTCACAGATTTGTCCCGGATGGTACTTGATATGCATCGACGAACATGTGATAGAAGTGGGCTACGGCCCGGTGATAACCAGATACTTATTCTCTTCCTTCTACACTGCCGTGAAAATGACAGGCCCTTTCCAATATAGTGAGAATTATCCTCCGCCTCCGCGCTTCAGCCATGAGTACAGTAGACGCAGCATAAGGCCTAGGAGAGCTGGATCCTAGGAATCTTGGACCATACCTCGCTGTTTAAAGTTTTCATCCAGAAAGGTTGTCCGAAATATATCACATTTATCCTAATATGAACACGACGTATTCAGTAGCATTCGGTGGGAATGTCAACAAATTTTCTGTTCAATATTCGACTCCTTGAGTAACTGCACGTAGACAATTATAGTGGAAACCCCTCTATTGTCTCTAGTACGATGAAAAATTCCTGATCTACCTTGCGAGTGGTGTATTTTATACAAATTATATTACTATCACGAAAGACCATCGATCGTTTCTTTCTGTCGAGTCCACGTTATATACGAAGATCTTGGAAAATTTTCACTCAATTAAAAGCAAAATTGAGAAAGAAGACAAACACCCTACCCCAAGGATTCCTACAATGTGTCGTGGTCTTATATATATCCTGATAGAAAGGGGAATGTGATTTCAAAGTCCCTCGAGGAGTTTAGGAATGAGAACCTCATCAAATTCCCAAAGCTTGGTCTGGAAATTCACCGCGAAGGCACCCCCTGTCCACCACGTGGAACGAGCGCCCTGCAGCTTGTATAGGTCCTGATAGAAGCCATCTTTGACTTCTTCGACAGATACACGAGCGTGCATCGGGCCATGCGTAGAGAAAGCGGCCCAGTTGAGCTTTTGGTCCTGGATGGGGCCAGACAAATGACCAGAGTTCAACAGGGTGTTGAAGCTACTCTGCGCCAAGGCCTTAGCTTCGGCAGCGGTGGAGGTCTTATTACCAATGATCATTACTCGGAACAAATGCCCTAGACCAGAGTAGGCAAAGCTTGCGGTTGTTGGTTCCTCTTGAAAGACCAGATAGTGATCTGGAGCAGCGGAGGAGGGCAAATTGAAGTACGAATAGCTTTTGTTAAAGACGGCATTGTCAACCAGTCCGGTGAATTCATTCGAATATGTGAACTTTGAAAGCGTCTTCCACTCAGAGGGGCTGAGATCCAATGTTTCCATGTTGTCTTTGGTAGGTTCGATGGCAACGAGGAGCCGGCGGGCGACGATGACGCTGACCTTACCTGTTTTGTAATTGCGCACAGTCAGGAATACGCCGAAGTCAGTTCGATGCGTATCAATGACAGTAGTTGAGTAAAGGACGTCATCACCCAGGTCCGTAGCAATCGCGTTGTAGAGGGACTGGATGCCACCAGTTGTGGGCACAAAGAGGCCCATTTTTCCCGTCAGGCCGCGCGCCATATCCCAGCCAAAGCTTTGCAGTGCGAACATGGTGGCAACTTCACTCATGTTACCTACTCCAAGGCCGGTAGTTGCGTAGATAATGGGCGCGCCCTCCTCGAGATCATACTTGGTCAAGAATTCCCCAAAGGGGATCAGGAGATCCTCGGGGATCTTATCGGGCCCAGGGAAGTTCCAGTAGCCAGGTCGCAGCATTGACTCCCATGGTTCAATAACTTTGAGAAATTTGGAGACGGCAGCGATCTGTTCGGTGTACGAGGGTGGCTCAAACTCAACCTTCTCCCCGGTGTTGAAGTCAATGTACTCGGTGATAAGAGAGGGGCCGGTTGAGCTGCTACCAACTGAGATGTTGAATCGGTCGAAAAACTGCATAGAATTGCTAACATTCAGGAAGCTCTGAACACCAAAATCATAAGTGTTGCCAGTCTTTTCTTCAACAAACGTGTCGACCATACCACCCTGCACATCGAGCACATATTAGCAATTAAGACCAGAATCATCCGAGCTAAAGGCCTATAAGGTGATATGGAGACTGTGAGGGTGAATGTTTTGATCTTACAAGGATGTTCTGCTTTTCAATCAAAGCGATGCTCTTATCAAAGTCGTCACGCAGACGGACGGCAGCATAGGCACCGGAAGCACCTCCGCCGATTACCACAACATCTCGGTAGAGGAAGTCCGGGATAGAGTTTGCAATGGTAAATGGCAAAATACCACCTAGGCCAACAATAATGCAGGACAGGGAAAGCATGTTCCTGGAAAGAGGACAACAAAATACTCCAAATGATGCGAAGGATTCGCATGGGATGGTGTTCGTCCCTAGCGACGATGAGGCAGCTTTGAAATGATATATGCAAAGTAGTTAAACAAGAATCTTTTTGGCGGGAGACTTCACGAATAAATAGAACGAAATGCGGGGGTAAAAAAAAACAATTTAGAGACCTCAAGCGGCGGCCGCAGCGACGAATGGCGAGCTCGGCAAATATTCGGGATTCGCTTTAAGAGGTCTTGGAGGAGAGGAGAACATCAGCAGAATGCCTGCCCACTAGTACTGAAAGTAACCAATTGAAGGATTCGGCCATGCTAGATTGGTGGACTCGGACATTATGTATAATTCGAGATAGTTCGCAGGCAAGCGGCAGCCCCGCCCGACAGAGGCTCGTAACGAGTAGTATACTATATTCAAAGTTTCACTGTGCCACCACGCCGCGTTCAATTCACGCAAATTTCTATTTGACTTGTTATAGAGAATTTACGAATTTGAATTGATCGCGGCTAGCCGGATGTGAAAAAATAACGCCATTGTCGAAGCAGCAGGTCAGTTCTAATGGCTCCGACCATGAAACACACGCTTATAATGCTGAATAAGCCTCATTTTGACGGAAAGGCCTATCATATTGTCAGCTGAGGTTTTCGGTAACACCATCCCAGCCGGCTCACGGTCGCTACACGGCGAATTGATTACTCGCGTGGAAATAAGGATAGTTGGCCTCTTGGCTGGTATTAATTAATGCAATTAATTTCGGCAAACGCACCTAAAGCATACTGGCTCTAACAGATGCGGGATGCCAAGGCGGTGCAATTACGATAGATTCAAGACTAAAGATTTTAGCCGTAAAGTATTCTATAATAACTCATTTAAGACCCGCAGTCGATATATACAACCAAGCAGGGGTTGTTAAGAGAGTATATAACCAAATCCTAATTAGGATGTTTTAAGGTATAGTTCGGGACACAATCCGTGAGTGTATGTGGGGTAATCTGTTTTCGAATCCTACTGTATCAGCGATGCGAACTAATGTATTGAATTTTCTATCAGATAAATTCCGCGAATGCTTATCCAAATCCCAGCGTATTTCAAAACAAAGATTAGGACCGATTTTATGTGGATGAAATGTTAAATTCGTTTTCAACCTACAAATAAGTGGGCAAGACCTCACGTGGTTTAAAGCATGCACCACGTGGCTGCTGACTTGCGCGGTGGCGCAATTCTTTGCACAGATAACCTAGAGGCTCAATTAGAGATTTGACTAGGCTATAGTACACGCGAAGGGTCAGCTTCCTAGCCTAAAACGTGCTGCGTTAAACTTTGTGAGAAAACATTGCACCATCAAATTGTGCTTGACTTACAAGTCAAAATTAAGGAGATAACTTTTCCTCAATCTTGCAGGCCATCAAATTCTTCTGAATTAGTCCCTCTTCTTTTTGCCAAAGTGGGCTGTGATCGCCGGGCCACTACGCCACGAATTAACTAAGACTAGTGCTACCATGAATAACTACCTAATCTCTGTCCTTAATTGCACATGTCACCACAGGGCTTAACGTTAAAAGTCAAACTGGGGTTCCACTACTAGCTTAATTTCTACGTAACTCCTTAAGACTTAGGCAGTCCACCAGGATATGCGTTTCTTAGGCATGAAAACGTAAGATTATAGACACGAGTGAGAAAGTTCAAAACAGCCATAATACTTACATCGTGCGCATCTGCTACAGCCAAGGCTGGGCATAGCGCTAACGTGCCGTCTTATTGCCGTTTCGGTGCGCACCTCACCTTGCATTCCAGTAGTGCGGTGCACGGACTCACGCTAAAATCTTAGCTCAGCTCGGGGTTCTACGCCCTAGTAATCCATAGTCGCAGTCCATTTGAAGCCTTTCTTCGTCAATCATCTTCGCATTGCTACTCAAGTCTATTGTTTTCCAAATCAATACGCAGGGCCGGATTCTACAGAATGCTTTTGCTAATATGCTAGTTACTTCTCTTGCTCTTTAGTGGCAGATAGAACCAGACTTGCTTTGAGTTCAAACCCCCGGTTATTTTCGCGCTTCTGTCAGCCAATCCCTTTTTCGCGCTAGTCAATAACTTCCAAAGCCACCAACGATGATACGAGAAATTCACCATGACCAAAAACAATCTCGGGTTCGCAAGCCCTGGGATTATAAATCAGCAAGCCCACTAACACATATTCCGCTCTCGTTTTTGTCCCATCACAACAGCTCATGATGGCATCCACAAATCTCTCGTGGACGGCCCCAGCATGGAGCAACTTCAACATCACGCGTGATTGCAATCTATTCAGCCAATTTTTCTCCGGTATTTCCAGAGACGGGCTCCTCAACGCACCACTTGGGGCCACCGTAGATTACTTCCGGTCAGCGTGGCCGGCGGAATTCTCCGAGCCGACGGTGCTGCAGATTGTAGAACTATGGCAAGCTATCGTGGCCAACTACACAAATGGCATCGGGGCCGATGAAATGTTCCGCAGTGTTTACAATGCTGCACATGGAACTTGCCATAATGAATTCTGCGCGGGCGTTGGATTTCAAGGCAATGCGGACCTTGTAGGAAATGGGGTGAGATTTACACTCTTAAACGGGACAGTTGCTCGTTCTCGCTAACCTGATTCTCGCGAAGGTCATGATTGCCTACTTGGTTGAAGCCGCGCTGGTATCACTCTTCCTAGCTGCTACGGGATTGTACCAGCTCAAATATTACCGCTCGTCGAGAAAGTTCATTGCGAACCAGAAAGCACCCTTTCTCTCCCAGGTAGCGCGAGTTCTCGATGCATTCCGCGGCAGCACCACAAACTTCTGGAGCGCCACAGCAATTCTTAGCCTGACTATGCTGATAGTCTCCTTACGCATGACAGCACGTGCTAGTATCTACGCTGAGAGAGCGGTACAGGCCTGGAGGGCTGGCTCAGCTGTTAGTGCATACGACACCGAGCTCGCCACAGTGGTGTCGACTTTCTCGGTTTTCCCTGTCTTCATATTGGGTCTTCTGGTCAAGAATCGTGGTCGCCGTCGGTGGCTGATGGGAGTTGCACACTGTATTTTGTACGTGCTAGCCCTCGCTCAAATCCGACTGGGCATAAAACACACTAGTATTGCAGCAACAATAAGCTCTTTGGGCAGGGCTTGCAACCCACAAACTGTGGACAGGATGTTCCACAAATATGGGTCCCCTGTATTTTACGTGCTTATCGCTGTTCCCATTGTGTTGGTAGTGTTGTCAGCTGCCGCCGCCATTTTGTTTCGCATCCATCGAGGCAAGCCAGCAGACCATCAAACAAGGCCAAAGGACTGTCACCGGGACTTGTATTTCCCACGACCGTACGAGGCGCCTCTGAAACTGTTTGCTTGCGTTGCGTGCTTCATCCTTATGTGGGCATCTGTTGGGCTGTTACTGTTTATGAGAGGTGAAATCATTAAGAATGTCGGCCACAATGACCCGGCATTGGAATGGAGCTTTGGCCAGCTACTGGCGTTGGCGACTTGGATTCCTGTTTCTGTGGAGTGGGTTTACATTCTGATATGTAAGTTTGCAACTTATATCTTGGCATATAAGGCTGAAGCTAAGACAATCGCAGTTGGTTTGAAGAGAGGTCTGGAGGGTCACGTGCCACAAGGTTACGCAGTCATAGTTACGGGTCACACTGAAGCAGCCCAAGCTTCGCAAGTCCATCATAATCTCCCCGCCAATACAGTCGACCTTTGTCTGTGCGAACAAGAAGCGAAATAATGCCGACAGCCAAGACTGTCGGGGTATCTACCGGCCGAGGCCCTTGGATGGACCTGATTTGCTCTCTCGTGACTGCAACCAGGAGAACACAACCACCCATCAGGGTTTAGCCTACTATTCAGTCGCCAAACTCTGCGTGATACTCCAAATACCTCACCTGCCTCGACCATACCTCAACCGTACCTCCTAAGCAACAAAGCCCTGTTCATCGGACACTGACGGCCGTCAAGTTTGGGCTTGTGGATCGCGTCTAGACTTTACAAATCCTTCCAATTTCTTTTCCGGGCCACAAATAGAACCTCCTCGATCTACTGTCCTGTGGGTCGTCGCTGGGACCTACATCGTAGAACCGTACCTGCGTCTGTCTAAGTTCACGCGTGTTGTTTGATTGGTCCGTCTGGTGCTATTTGTCTCTAGGGTCTTATCAGTTTGATAGTAGCGTTGCAATCTTACGAGGTGGGTGGCGATCACAAGAACCTAGCTCTTGAGCCTTGGTTACAAACGGTTCACATGGTTGTCCTAGAAACTAGGCTTAGTTTCCTATTGTAGGCTTTCTAATAGGGTCTAGACTTTTGATTATTCTCCCCAAAGAAAGAAAGTCACCACCCTAGTTTAGGAGTACGTCCATAGTGTCTATGCCGCTAGGTTGCAAACCTTCTAGTAAAGACAACGTTAGTTAGCCGCGAGTACATAGGAAAGAAATAATATTTAGCAGCGCGGGGTAAGAGATAGAAAGAACTGATTCTAGCGAGACCAAAGGTTCATCCGGCTAACTATAGGTACAATTGAGCGTTTCTGTCGGCCACAAAGTCTCTAAACAACATTTCTGCGTCTATTGAAGCACTTTAACGCTCACGAAAGAGACGGCGACCGTGCGTAAAAAGGGCAGATATAGAGTGCTAGCATATTGAGCGATTTAATTGCAAATTTAATGATATTTATGATTCATATATGTGCGGTATTACTTTCCTCTCACCACTTGATAAAAGTGGTTCACCACACTTAACTCACGATTTCGAGAAGAATGATTGCGTGAGTACACTCGAGAAGGTCACAAAGTTTCTAAACACCATTTCAACGTCGTTTAGATCGCTTCAATGGCTATCAACGAGAGAATGATATGATTCTTGCTACCATTAGAGTAACTGGTTTCTTGGTAGAGACATAGCCGAAAAAATATAAAAGGAGCCGGATTCCCAGCCCAAAAAAATCAGGACTTCGGTCCTCACACTTTGATTGTCCCTCTTTTGCCTGCGGGCTTGAGAGCTTGCGTGATCACGGCTGTCGCTGCCACGAGCCCCGCGAGTGTAAAACGGTGCTTCGCAGGATAGGTCTGCGTCAATAACAGTCCTCGTAGGGGATGCTGCGACAACAAGGCCCCTAGCGACGTGTAGGCACCTCTTCGTGGTGTTAGGGGCCAGTATTCGAGTATTCCAAGAGTATTCGATAAAGCAAAGACCTACGCAACATCTTTATTATCTGTTTCGTATACTAAAGAATCATCATTGGATAGATAGAATGAGTATAGATCATCGCAAATTCAATCACCAAATCGTAAGATTCAAACTGGACTGTTATCGTTAGCGACCTATATTCCCACTCCTTCTGCCTTTTTCGCGGTCCGATGATCCCTTCGCTGTAATGGAAATTGGCATTTTTGATTTAGGTTTAGAGTAAGCAGAGATGTTGTGCTAGGATGCTTGTCGTGTTAGGTTACTTCTTTTGATAGAGTCTTAGTGAGAGATGGTGAGAGATGGTGAGAGTTGGTATGGGTTGGTGAGAGTTTGTGTGGGTTGCTGTGTTGATATATGTTGATGAGTGTAGTGAAATATCACTGTTGTGGTGAATGGTCGGGCGGTGAGGGAAGCAGTGGTACGTCTCTCAGAGGCAGCCCGGTTTCTTGCATCAATTGCATTGTCTCAATTCCGCAAGTCCTTTTTGATCCCTTATGGTCACTCGGTGACGTTGGCGTACATGTCTCTAACTCATTAAAGATGATCTTCCGATATTGCTCAACTATGATCACGCAATATACAGTAGGCTTAAGATCAGAATGACGAGGTGCAGAGCCATGTGATATTGCTCGAGCATACGAAATGGTGGGTTCAATTCAAGATGATTACGCGATAGGCTCTGTTCCTCGTGTCGTGAAAGAAATTGCTTCAGATGACTGTTGCGAGTCACACGAACCTACTCTACACTAGAATGCCTATATCCTAGTCTTCCGCAAAGCCCACCGTTGGGCCCGGACATCGGGCCCAAAGCCTGACCCATCGTGGGCTGAAGGTCGAACTTTTAAGCCTAAGCCTAACCCCTAGCCCACGATAGGGGCCTAATAGGCCCCCATGAAAGTCTATTCTTGCATAAAATCCTAGTCTTAGAGGTTATAACGCTGCTAACTAATTAACATAAATTACCGTTTTTTATAACTGTTTTAGGTTGGTATATTAAATATCGCTATAGTATAGTGAACTTATAGAAATAGGGCGATATTAGAAGGACCCCCATATTCAATAACTGGACCCTACAAATGTACGCTAAACCAACCTAGGCCGGCCGCAGTAATTGTATTTCCAATGCATTGTTAGTAAAACTGCATTAATTCTTGGCAATACCAGATGCCTAGAGTATCGGCGGTTGAGGATCTAAGGTACTTTCATTCACTATGTAGCCCACTAGTAAAATTAAGTCTCCCGAACCTCCAGTATCATCTACGCAGCGGGATGATCCGTCGCTGTTTGAGATCGTGGACGCCTAGGAAGCACGGGAAGGTCGGCAGATATAACGGGGGCCAGCGAGGTCGAGGCCGAGGTGAGGCAAATAACGGGTGGGAATAGACTCGTCTATAGCCTAAGGAGCTCAAGCTACGCCCTCGACGTCGTCGGCGGCATCTTAGGGACTGCGAATAGCTTCGCCTACGGCCTTGCCCAGTTGGTTGTTGGCAAGGGTCGGGGGTGACTTAATTTTACTAATGGGCTACGTAGTGAATGGAAGTACCTTAGATCCTTAACCGCCGCTACTCGGGGCATCTAGTATTGCCAAGAAATGCATGCATTTTACCGATTAATGCATTGGAAATACAATTACTACGCCTTACCTATACGGTTAGTAAAATGGAGAGGGAGTCCGAATAGCTTCCATGGAGATCCTTCTAATATGGCCCTACATAAATACGAAGTTAACCATATATGGCTTAAAGATACGCGTGATTAGGGTTCGGAAAGGCTCCTTTATATTGTCCGACATAGGCAGAAGCGGCCGTCACTGTACCAAATCCAGTGTTGATGGACTGTTCACTTGTGGCACCAGTTGATAGACCTACCCCAGTAGCTCCTTTAGTGTGCTCGAGTTTTATCGCAGAGTCAACAGCAGAGATGCTGAGTGGAGGGCTAGCATATGATAGCGAATCACCAGAACATGACGGGCGCTGCAAGATCAGCGAGGGGAATTGTTTCGAGACTGATGTTACGTGAATGTCGTGTGTTTCTCTCAGGTAAGAACTGGCTTGTCCTAGGACCAGTGGGTTGAGTCAAATATAGGCCTCCGTGAAGCTAACGTCAGCTGCGAATCCTTGACTGTTAGTGAAGGTGTCTAGAAAAGGCGACGTCTAACCTCGGGAGGCCGTGGAAAACATAATAGCAACGGGTATAGAGGCATTTTCAATACGTACGGTTGCTGAGGGACAGTATTTTCTTTCCATTGCAAGTAGCTTCACAGCCTGAATGTGCACCAAGGATGGGAAGTCCAGAGTGTATAGTATCTCTCCGCCTGATATAAGTTGACCTGATATTAGGTCTTGGGTAAGCTTCTGATACAATTTAACACATCTAAAATCAGGTATTGCGGTACAGTCGGAGTCGAAAACAGATTCCCCTTCCTACACTCACGGATTATTTCCTGAACCCTTCCTTGAAATGCACTAATCTGTGTTTGGTTACTCTATGAATCATCCCTGCTTAGTCGTGTCGTATCGAACGCTGTCGCTAAATAGTCAATTTGTAAGATATTGTAAGACTCCACAGAATCGTGTAGAATGTTCCTGGCAAAGGTACCAGTGGACGAGGCGATCTGGCAAGATCGCCGACCACCCATTCTTCTGCACAAAGGCAGCCTTCGTCCACTTGTTTTACTGTATAACAAGAAGGCTGCTCTGGTCCTATAGAGAATAACCGTAATATGTTGAATATGTTGAGAGGGCTGTCACAAAGTGGCGCAGTAAATACAGTCGGTGGCGGACCGTACTTTAATCCTCAAAATAATCAGATTCTTTCATAAAATGGAAATTTTGGCGAGTCTAAAAGACTCTCGATTTCTTTTATTTGCTACCAAGCGACCAGCGACTAATATGCGACGAGAAAGCATGCCAATCGTCATTATTAGTCCTTGTCACACTTGTCCCATGTTCAAGATGACCGTGAGATACGTTGCCGCGTTCGAGTAAACATCGCGTTAATAGAAGGTATACAGGTACAAATAAAACCAATCGTAATCTCAGCATTACTGTTTCGATATCCATATTAGACAGGTCGGAATAGCTGTCGAGAATGGAAGGACGGACATACCCAGCAAAGTCAATTCTTGTAACAAAGGTCGTCTTGTCAGTGGATGCCCCAGACGTGAATAACAGACATATTCGGTAGGTATTCGATATTGTAGCTATCCCGCCGGCCCCAAGGATAGCCACGACTTTGACCTTTTGAGCTATTGATAAATGGAGTGGCCATGTTAAAATGATGGGCAGGATAATGATTGCCCCGTCAGTAATCAGGCTGACGAAGGAGTCGACAATGAAGAGAGCGCGGATATTGACGCATTTACCGGTGTTCGGTTTCCAATAAGCTGACACTGGAATACATAGAAATATCCGGACAAATAGGACCGCACCGTAATAGGCCAGGATAAATACAAGTAAACCAAGGATAAAACGTGCCATTTTCTCTCGTATGGCAAAGATTCGAAGCAGTATAGCAATAAGCAATACCTTGATGAAGACAACCGAGAGTGCATAGAAAATAAAGGCAATATATTCGGTCCAGAAATTCGTTTAGTTATTGAAGTCATTGCCAAGGTGTTGGCTTACCTTTCTGACCAACTGAAGTTGAGAGGCATCAAGCTTCCATATATGATGAGCACCTCCGAAAAATACGTCTAATAGGTGAGAGAAAATATAAAAGTTAGTTACTCTGGCTAGAAGGACTCACAAGTTAAGGAATATGACACACATAAAATTTCTATGATAAAGAGGGCACAGGTAAATAGCTGGAATGCTTATTAGCAATTCCGAATTCACCACTATATGTGAAGGATGAATACCCATGAGAGGCTACACACAACTTTAGAAGATTATCAGCAAATCATTTTTAACAGGGATTTATAGTGGTCTCACAGTCTTCCCAATTAAATGACTTCCAGACACGATACCTCGCATAAAGTCGAAAAGCTAGAGCGCTCGTGACCAGAGTAATACACAGTCCGTCAACTATGTAGCTGATAATGGAGAGAGTATTCTTTGAATCTGTTTGTCTTGCAAAGATCGTAGAAGTATAAATTGAAGGCGATAACCTCGTGATCATAATATCTCTATTCGGAGACGAAATTTGTGACCAATCTCCGTCGGTTGGTACGCCGTGAATATTGAACTCGCGCGTGACGAGGAAGGAAATGAGTTGTTAGTACTAGTTCAGTGGGGTCGTGCGTATTTTATGGTACCCTCAGAGCTCGTATTTTTCATGATGTAATAGCGTGCAATAGGACAGGATGAAACCCTGGAACGCTTGTGGTTTTGTGGTTTATTTCCCCAAAAAAAAGGACTTATACATAACGAGAATTTACAACATCGACCTAACTCGCTGCTTAGGGTCACCTCTTAAGGCTGAGTGAGTATCGGTCACAAAAGCTAATCATCGGTCCTGACGCCTGGCGCGGCTTTTCGCTCACTAACCATAACTAAGTCTGGTGCTTAGCTGAGTAATCTGATCCACTGACTGATCCTCATCTGAGCGCCCTGATTCGCTTACTGAGCACAAACTGAGTGTGGGATGAGCAGCCCGCGGAACTCCCTCTCTAGGTTCACCCCATTTTCCAAAAATATACTTTTTATACGAAGTGACAATAAGAGTGCTATGTATCTCGCTAATAAACACACGCATCAGACAACTGCTACTGTATGAGCAATCGATATATCTAGTCCTAGACAAACCCATGCAGCTCATGATGGGCTTTGAGCCTGGATTCAAACCGATGGATATGGGGCCCATGGGTTTGGGCACGTAATTATCCGTAGCTCTCTGCCAACTTCTTCTATATTTTCAAACTACGGGACTCTCGTGTACCAATATATGGGTATCAGCGATTGCCTGTCCTTCTTGATTCAGATTAGTGTCCAAATTCTCTCTATCTGGAGCTACTATTTCATTCCTCTCTCAGTGACACATTCGGGAGATGTCCAATGTAAGTCGGAGGCTGTATTGCTCTGACTATTTTACTTGTGTATGGGAATTGCTGGCTCGATCATTACTTCTACTACCACCCAAGCCGCCGTTGGCTTCTATACCATGTATAACGTGTTTTACATTGTCGGTGTTGGTTCCAACGTCTACACCATTGCTGGAGAGGTACCTACCCCTCGGTCCTTCGCACCGAGACTCTCTGCCGCCCTTTCAGTGTCCGCAGCTGTTAATACCATGTGGTCTTTTGTCGCCCCGTATACGTTCAACCCAGGGTATGGGAATTTAAAGGCCAAGATCGGATTTGTGTTTGTTGCTTTGATGCTCATTTTTGCTGTACTGGCATATTTTGATATGAGAAGTCCTTCATGCTATGCCAGAGGCAACATATATTTCAGGAGTCAGGCCTTGGTTTGCGTTGCTTTGTTTGCTCCGATGGCATGGAGGTGTTCTTGGCATCGGACGCAGATTGGTCTATTTCTGGTGTTTGCTCAAGTATCCGTCAGACTAATTAACAAATCATATGGGCGAACTCAGCACGATCAATTATTATTTCTTTTGGTAACAAATTAGATATGTGCGCTGCAAGGAGTTGCTGAATATTTCTTGGCATCCTTGCACCACGCTCAGGCGTAGGTAATGACTGTCGGTACTCTCAAAGTCAGATCAGAATAGTTCAAAACTTGTACCGTCATTGCTCAAACGACCAGCTGCATCAATAAGGTTGGTCGTAATAAAGGTCCTGCACCACACTTTCCTGTATTCTGCCGCTAATTGGGCGACACGAACGTGCCTCTTCTGGCTCAAGACGTATTGATACATTAAATGACAAGATTATGGCGCATTTATTTGTTTTTCAAATTCCCCACTGATTTCTGCCCACATATATAACCGGCGGGCCATTAGTCCCGACCCGACCCGTGACAAGGCCGAGGGTTACCAACGGGCTATGCCACCCTTTTGAGTGAGCTTCAAATATACCTATAGTGATTAGCAGACTAGCATGACCGGCCCGTTATCGAAAACCTGGCCCTGCTTGTAGAGTATACAGCTTTTAAGCTGTGTTGAGCTAGTATATGTCCGCACGTGATCGGCTCAAACGGAACCCCCGCCCGATATAGACCGAAGTCGCCGATCACAGTCAGTCTTCACAGATAGGCCGATTTGCTCCAAACTATTAAAAATCCCAATCCCCTATCTTGTTTTTCTTGTCGATTTAAGCCCATTGCATCCTCGAGAATCATTGCTGCGACAAACCCATTTAGGTCGTTTCAAGATGGCCTCAAGCAACCCCTCATACCTCATTATCGGTGCTGGTGTCTTCGGTGTATCAACTGCCTATCATCTCATTCAAAAGTATCCTAATGCATCTGTGACACTAGTTGACCGAGATGCATACGATGCCGAGTCTCGTGTGGCTGCTTCATGGGATTGGAACAAGGTTGTTCGCGCCGACTATGACGACATGGTCTACTGCAGATTGGCTCTTGAAGCTCAGGATATTTTCAAGTCAGATCCTCTTTGGCAGCCACATTTCCATCAGACCGGCGTATACTGGGTGTGCCGGAGCGACTACGCGCAGAATGTCATTACCCACCATAAAGATCTCGGCCGCAACGAGGATATTATTGCCCTCCCTGTCGCCGAGGCTCGAAGACTTTACGGCGGAATTTTTGACAATGCTGATTACACAGGCGTTAAGGAGGTTCTCATTAACAGGGCTAGTGGCTGGGCCGCCGCTGGAGATGCCCTTCGAGCAGTTACGAAAAGGTGCCTTGAATTGGGTGTCGAGTACGTGACGGCAGATGTCTCCACTTTGGTGTTCGATGGTCGCGGCTCTTGCATTGGTCTCAAGACGAGATCTGGCGATGTCTTGTCTGCCACGCATGTTGTTGTTGCTGCTGGCGCTTTCACTCCCACATTGCTAGAATGGAGCGCTGCGACAAGCGGCAACCCCGGTCTCCGAGCTGAGGAGCGAATTTTGGCTGCCGGTATTACTACAGGAATGGCACAGCTCAATGAGCAGCAGTACAAAAAGTTCAAAGATATGCCTGTTGGATTCCAAGGATACACACCCCAAGAGGGTAAGATTTCTGAATAGATATGTGCGAATTCTGCTCACAGTAAACAGGAAAGCCCTTTATCGGTAGTCTACCCCCTACTAAGGATGGAGAACTTAAGTGGTGGGGATCAAAGATTTTCACAAACACTAGAGAGGTGTTGCCTGGGCGTTCCATATCATCTCCTCCACCCACGCACGACTACAATCAGTGGAAGGTTCCTGGGCCTCTCAAGCAGGACATTGTCGAGTCAAGGAACTTGTGGTATGGACCAGAGAGTGCGGACTGGGAAATGACCAAACACAGGATATGCTGGTCAGTACCTCTCTGTGGAATGACGATTGCAATTTAACACTCAAAAGGGACGCGTTCACGACTACCTCTGACTTTATCATTTCCCCTCACTCTGCTTCGAAGGGGCTCTACATTGCAACTTGCGGATCATTCCACGGTTACAAGTTCTTCCCTGTGCTTGGCAAGTATATCACACAAATGCTGGAGGGCGAGTTGTCACCGGAATTGGTGGAGAGATGGGCTTGGGATCGACAACGATCTGATTCTTCTCAAAACGTGGAGTATCCGAACTCTGAGATGAAGCATCTATTGGAGCCTGCAGCAAAGTTGTAGTGGAAACAGGATTGGATCTTCAGCTCGCGTTGGGCATGTCTAGCGCATTCACGTATTTTAAATTCATTAGCTTGAAAGTCTCAATGTAATTCCTTCATAACTAGGTCAGCCTAATTGGATTAAGCCAATGGACTCTTCTATCTATCAGACCCGACTATTAAATGAGATACAAGTATCAGTGGATGATCGCAGGAAATGGAACGGATAATACACTTAATGACGCCGGATGGCCGACTGAAAATGAACTGTTCTACGGAGTCCTGACTGTTAAAGTATGCCATTGGCTGACCATAAGTATTCTAGTGGAAGGAACGCGTTTGATTAACATGGTGCTAATTTCTATCAAGCAAAACCTCTTAAAGTGGAGATCGCCCTTAGCTCTCTCATGAATTCATATCCGCATACGCCAACTGCAGTTTCCTATCAAAAGTGCAGATGTTTGGATCCAGCTCTGCGCAGACATTCAGAGTATAAATCACACTGCTAAGGTTAGACGATATTCGCAACATGACCTTTCCTGTGGCATCTGGAGTCCACCGAGCAACCATAAGTTATCTGAAAAACGGCCATTGAAGGTGCACCTCCATGATTGAAGGATTTCTGGTATTGATTTCCCTGACCATTACCTGTATACCGTACAAGTGGAACAAGCCGTCTGTCTTGGCAAAAGAAAGCTTCACCGCGGACCCCCCAAGCGCGGAGCTCCGGTCATGAGACAGAGCCAGCCCTGACATATTGATTGTCATCTGATGATTGGGCGATTCCTGTTTGATGAGGCGCAATGGAGATCGGTTCCATGTAACTCCGGTGAACAAGCAGCTCCACGCCCTTCCAGGCAATCACCTCGGGGGCCATCTGATATTCTGGCATCTGACTGTCACTCCACCTCCCAGCTCGACACGGAAGCCTTTGTATTAGTCTAATCTATCGGACCTTATTCTCAAGGCTGTGGTGTTCATTGGTCCACATCGACAGTGTCCCATTCTCATGCGGGAGTTCCCCTCCCGCCCAAAGTGGAATATACTCGTAGACGTCTACCATCACACAGAAGTGAATAGAATTCGCGTGGTTGCGTAATTCATTGCTTCCACGAGTACTCGCTTGGGTATACTTCACCAGTTAGACTAATCTCTCCATATTTGCTGGAATGTCCGAGGTTTTCCCTAACCAATATCTCGGACCGAGGTTTGCAATCTTCATTGCAATTAATGAGTTTGGGATAGTATTCCCGTGCTGAGGCTTACACAAAATTAATGAAGCTGCACATAGTTTAGGGCATGCATTACTGCAGCTTTCAGGTTGCCATCAGACCTACCTACACGTAGAGATCAGTCATGTGGGCTGGCTCGCATGTCAACCAAGGTGACCCAAAGCGAACAGACCATGCGACTGAACGAATGATGCTATCAGCAAGAGATTAACGGATGAAAGTGGTGTAGTATCCTCTATGTTCTATGGCGGGATTTCAGGTTATGTGCTATCTTAGGGCGCGACGAAAGTCAACACAAAGCGCACAAAGCCGAAGGTGTAGAGAAGTAGGAGGATTGACTACATGAGGTAAAACTCCTAAGTAACACACTAGCTACTGTCATGCATGCGAAACTTGTCTTCGTGGTGCCACCTAGATTTCTTTGGCTCCTGATAATTCAAGATGCATAGTCCTCAAGTGCATTTGAGACATACGCTAAGTTCTGAATAACAGCCAGGCCATACTGCGCAATATCATTGGTCGCCAGCCATGCTGCCTCGTCGACAGCTGTCAGAACCGAACTTTCATTTACATGTGTAATATTCCACGGCGCGCTTGTCGTAAATCCATCACTGGAATAAAAGTCTTTCCATGCGCGCAACGCCAGGCTTGTGTTCTGTGTTTGATACGCCGCATACGCTGCTAGCCGTGAATGTGCCTGGTAAAGGCTCAGACTGCCAAACTTAACCCCGTAACGGGCCTCTTGCTCTGCTGCTGGCGCATGATAGTAATAGCAGTAGTCTATCCAGGCATCCTTGAATCCTATCGGAAGATCGTCACCTAGATAAGTGATTGCTTCCGACACAACTTCTGGTAGCCCAAAGACAGCAGATAGATGTGACACAGACACGTTTCCAAGGTTGTCTGGGTCTGCAGGGGGAGGTCCCAAAGTCCAGGTAACAGGGTCGTATAGCCCCGACCCGGTCACGAAACCGTTGGTCAGGTTCGCAATTCCCGAAAGTGTGTTGATCAGCTTCGTCTTGGCCTCTTCCCATCTGGAGCCGCGCCGTTCCCATTCCATCAACCACCCTGCAGCGAGACTCGACCAATCCGTCCCAAGACTGAAGGCAACCGTAGAGTTGGGGCTAGGTGTCCAGCCATCTGTTCGGACCTTCCTCTGTGGATCGAGAATGCCATATGTTTTATCTGTGTCCAACAACTCTTCTAGTAATTCTCCAATGCGTTCATCTCCGCCCGAGATGTAGTAGAAGTACTTCCGGTACTGTGGTTGGGAAATGCGGGCCTGCTTAGCGCTATCCCCCCAGTGCTGAACGCCATGACGTGTACCGAGCCCTTTCCAGTCGCCGATGTGGTACACATCTACTTCCCCCGTGTGTCGTGTCAGGGCCTCGGCGAACCTGTATGCACCTTCGTTGCCTGTGCGCAAGAAATACATCCAAAAGAAAAGGTCTGGAGAGAGCTCAGAGTTGTCCCAGGCGTATCCGCCGATATCGTACCGCCAGGTGTGTCGGTCAGTGTCATAGGTATGCATAAAATCTCCATAGTCTAAAAATCCATACCAACGACGCTGCTCAATCTGCCCTCGGTAGAAGTCAAGGATAAATCCGAGGTGATCTTCTAGGGCCTTTGCAGTATCCGTTGTGGTGCTAGGCAGGCCCCAGTATCCACCAACAGCTTGCGTCTCATGCATATATTCCGGTCCAGCTACCAGCACCGGAGGATTTTGAATGTGCGCTGCGAGGGAAGCGAGTTCCTCACTTGTCGGAGTCTTGTCGAATGCAAATAGATATACCTCGCTAGTTCGTGCGATTCCATAGGGGGTGTTGAAGCCGGATTCCCAGTCCTCGTAAGTGATTTCAAGAGCATCCAGTTGGTCCTCATAGTCATCCTCGTTCAGGCCGTCATGGTAGGGTCGGAGATCCAAGGGCTCAGCTGCAGGGCTGTATAACCAGAGTGTAATTTCGCCTGAATCAGATGCAGCGTTGGAAATATCTAGACCTGACGGATACCGTTTCCAGAAGTCGCGTAGTCCCACGGCCAGGCCTCCCTTTGTGGCACCGCCGAGATAGGCGAGACCTTCTGAGCGCGTCCCACTGGGAATTTTGACCCATGACTGGCCGGGCTTTGTCCGCTTCTTGAAGTTGAATCCATCCGCTGTCAGTTGGGTGAGGCTGTAATCTCCCCAGGTGGGAATCCACTTTAGACGAGTGGTCACACGGGTATCCCAAGTGTTGGTGTCTGGCAGTTGGCGGCCTTCGTACTGGGCCGTCTTAACCTCTTGACCAGGATCTCGGCGTAGCCCGGTGATACCCTGGACAGCCTCGTTGAAGATACCACCGTCTACGCCAGCGATTCTGACGTGTCTGTTATATTGCTCTTCGCCTTTCAACGGAATATCAAATCGAATTCCGATCCCAGTGATAAAATCACTTTCCGCTCCCCCATCGAAAACGATGCTATGCATCACCTTAACTGAGTCGGAGTTGGCATAGAGATAAAATCGGATAACGAATTGCAGCCACGGTTCGTGGTCGGCGCCACCTGTAACTTTGTGCTTGCCATGGACGGTTACTAGTGCCCTGGCAGAGGTTTGGTTCACGGTGACATTGTGGATGTCGCTGTCGAAGTTGAAATATTCAATTGACGCATTGCCCCGGCTGTCGGACCGGTCCGGCACCCAATTCTGAGATTGAAGAACAAGCCTTCCATTTTCGCCAGTCGTTTTCCCGTCTTTTGTCTTGATGGCGTCGACAATAATGCTTCCTGTCTTGAGAAAGGAAACACTAATCTTCCCTGTATTGACAGTTATCACGTTCCTCCGGTCTGTGACAACCAGGGAGCTGGTGCTATTACCGAGTGACGCAGATGTAGATTTGTCGGTACAGCCAGATGAAAATGCAGTGACAGTGTACTCATCATAAATCTGGTCTGATTGCCCTATGGCGTGGCCGGTCCATTTGAGCGAGCCATCAGCCCAGCGCCCGGTCGCCCATGACTGCAACTCTTCTGGATTCCCAGCATCGCCCACAATGCTGAACTTGGTATGCTCAGGCCAATATTTCCCTTGTGGCCAGGGCAGACCAAATGTCACGCCTTTGTTGTACGTTGGCTTCTCTCCGAGCCAATTGACTGTCGTAGATGACGAGGTGCAGTTCAATGCAGCCACAACGCATTGCCCAAGCGTGGCAAGCGCCAGGAGCTTGGCACCAAATTTCGGCATGATCTCACCACGGGGCAGAATCGAAAGCCCAAGTCTAACTTGGATCGAGATGCAGACTGCGTAGGGATTCCCGGGCTCTTAAATGCCCGCAATTTGTCGGAGCCATGAGCAAGCAAAGACCATCCTTGGCCTTTCCACTTGGTCACAAAAAAGGCGGACTAAATGACACCATCTGCATGGGAATTCCGACGACCCTTGGTGGAGGAAGGGAAATCATCAACGATTGGTGGTAAAAGTGAGGTGGAATTTGACCGAAAACAAATGCCCAGCGATTCCCCTTTCCCCGCACCGCTCGGGGTCAGGGGTATTGTATGCCGAACTGATGACAATCAAGACAATTATTGCTTGTTCGACCCGATGTCTCCCTTCAATGCAACGTCTTTCTCGCGGCTTTTGCGGCATAATCTTTCTAAGAGCTGCTTGGACCATCCGATGTTTGACATGTTATTTTCATGTCACTGCGGATAGTATCACTAGATATTGCCAACTGGCAATTACTATCAAGTGTTTATTGTGATAATGTTGTGTGGACTGTATGGACTATAGTAATCGACCGTTCCTTTTTTCCGTATATCGGAGTCCTTCCTCCTAGACCCTTACCATGGTTAGCCAAGGGGGACTTACTTTGCGTTTTAATGTGGAAAGAGTTAGGGAAAAACATTAGAAGTCCCAATGGCTCACTGTCAGAGTGAATCTCTCGTTAATATTTGGCGGTTAGTTACATATTCTTCCTCCCACCGATGTGATGTACAATTGTCGTTACCAGGCCGTTTCGTTCTCCTCCATGATTGTAGAAAATTTGCTTAGAACCTGCTTCAAAGCAGGTCGTCGAATTGGTTTGCTGGTTTTTGTCAGCCGCAGATCCGTGTATCGCGTTTTGATTGACTAACCTTATGAACATGTCCATGCCAGAGTCCATGCAGTCTTTGATGTTGCTTTCTTCCGCAAAGGCACTTAGTGCGATAATGGGTGCAGAATATCCCATCTGCCGTATCAGTCGCGTGCTTTCGAGTCCATCGAGAATAGGCATCTGGGTCAATTAGCATGGTTCATAAATAATTCAACGCAGTCATTCATACCTGAATGTCCATGAATATAAGGTCAAAGACTGCGCCTTTCTCCATGTTCGACTTGACGGTGTCATATGCCTCCTGGCCATCCTTCACAATTGTTACATCATAAACTTCCTCCAAGGCAAGCATGCTATTATCAGTCAGTACTTCCAGATATCAATGTTGGGGCTGACTGGTTTCAGCACGCACCGTCGAACGACTTCTTGATTAACAGTGTTGTCCTCGGCAACCAAAACACGAATCCTTTTTGATCCGTCGCCATTCTTTGCGGTAGTTTGATTTGACGGGAGGTTTGTTGATAGCGGCGGTGCAGGAGATGAAAGCACAGCCGGTGCGAAAAAAGGTTGACTTAGTCCGACCAGGCGTGGTTGGATCTCCGACTTCTCAAAGCCAGGTGCATGAGGTTCGTTCCGCACGGACCCATGATTGGAGGGTGTCCGCGCGGTGTTGGAAAAGTCTTCCAGAGACAGGACGCTGGAGGTCCGGGATCCTGGAATGCTTGATGTATGTGTGCTAGGGGCGAGCTCTCTCACAAATCCAAGGGGAATTTTGAGTGTGAAGAGAGATCCTTTGCCCTCCTCGCTATCAAGAAGAATAACACCACCCATGATGCGGGACAACTGAGCACAAATGCTCAAGCCCAGGCCAGTTCCTCCATACTTCCGATTCAATCCGAGATCGCCTTGAACAAAAGGATCAAATATACGTCGATGCAAATGTGCAGGAATGCCCGGTCCATTATCATGAACTTCAAATTCAAAATTCACCTGGCGGAGATTAGGTTGCATCATATTCTGGCCCTCGGATTGGGCATCATTTGCGTGAGTTCTAGGACCAATGGATGAGGTTGTACTCGAGGCCGTCGGGGACCGGAATCTTGAGTTACGTCGAGTTCGATCTTTGATAGTTACGGGAATCCCATCGCTGGGAGAGTCATCAATACAACGGATATGGACTTCCACTTTTCCATGCTCGGGCGTGAACTTGAGACTGTTGCTGACCAAATTGATGAGCACCTGAAGGATTCGATGCTGGTCACCCCATAGAACCATATCTGCGAGTCGGCCGGGTGCAGGCAGTCCGAAAGCTAGACTAGATTGTTCAAATGAGGTTTCACGGCAAACAGTGCCCTTAGGCTCGGTGATTCCACCAGAGACAAGGTTAACACTGAAGTCGATATGCTTCTCATGCACTTGATTCTGGAAGATAATGGACAATTGTGATCGGATGTCGGATAACTTAAATTCCTTTTCTTCAATCTGGATTGCTTGATCGATTTGATTTTTGCTGAAGGTGAGTAAATCATTCAAAAGGTGCAAAAGGAGATCCCCTGATTGATAGACCACCTGCAGAGACTTTTTGATTCGAGAAAGGTCCTCCTCGCCCATACACACTGCACACATGCCAAGGATTCCATTGAGAGGAGTCTTGAGCTCATGAGAAATGTTGGCGATGAACAACGTTTTGCTCTCGTTGGCTGTCTCTGCTGCCAGTTTGGCCTTTTCGAGCTCTCGGGTCCGCTCAGCCACTCGCTCTTCCAGTCGATTGTACTGAATTGTTAATTCGTCTGACATCTCGTTGAACGTTTTGGTAAGCTCTGTGAGTTCATCCGTCACACAATGGTTCCGTTCCTTGATCCTCCCAGGTATCTGAAACCTGCGAGGGTTTGGGGGGTTGCCAACGCTGGCGGAACTGTTCGGCCTCCTCAGGGGATTCCGGAGACGCTTCACCCACGTGGAGGGAGACCCCTTCTCGCTCATGTGTTCTTCGATTTGCTCAACCGGATCCATCAGTCCATCGTCCATGCCTGGATATGTTCTCTGTGGGCTGCGGGGAGCAGGCGGTGGCGCCATCTCAGGCTCGACCGACTTCTTCGCGGCCTCACGCAATCTTCGGATAGGAGCAACCGCCCAGTGAGTCAAGATAGGGACAACGAGGATAATTGCGCCAGCTGTACCAAACACGCACGCGAGGATAATCTTTCGTAGCCGAAGAATGGGAGCGAAGGATTCGGAGTGTGTTTTCTCTACAAGAAGAATCCACTGAGCAAGGCTATTTTGAGGACGCACCGCCCCTACCGCCACGTTGACTCCTCGCTCATTCTTAGTTGACAATTGGCTGATAGCTTTGCTCTCGTATGATTGTAACATGACCCTCAACGCTATGGGGTACGTGGAGAGTACAAATGGTGTATCGGTCGACATCCCATTGTGTCGGCTAACCTGGCTGGGCAGGGGGGAGGGCTCGAAAACGTAGTGGACCTGCGCTGCACCAAGTGCCGCCGCGTGAGGGGCAGATGTGACTGTTGCAGGTTGGGCACTGGCGACGAAGGTGTTTTCCGGTTGCAACGGCCCTAATAGAAGCACTTGTCCGGTATTCCCCAAACCATCCCGCGAGCTCACGACACTCTGTAGATTTGCGGCACTGGCGACGATACTGAGAAGGGTTAGCTTTCGTATGTTTGATTTCCGGTGGACCTTGCTTGTAGGAATACCCACGTCACAAATCCCAGAATATCAGTGTTGGAGGTGTTGTTGACGATCGGCAGAGTTAAGGAGATGAGTGAGAAGGAAGAATTAACTTTTAGGGGCCCAAGGAGCAATGCCGAGTCTAATCCAAGGATATAGTCGGAGAATGCATAGGCATTTGTTGACCCATTGTCGCCCGACGCGCCGTGGTAGGTAAGATTCGGATAGAGCGAGGGTGGGTAGCCTATCCCGTCATTGCCCAGCATCACAGAGCTCCCATTCGGATACGTATATGGAAGCGTGATGTCCGGGACTGTGTCACTCGTCACGTTGAGCAATGTCTCGCTGCCTCCTTGTCCATCTTTGGAATAGATGATGGCCTGGTAGAGGCTCAAGTATCCCCGACTTCCAAGCGCAGATTGGGCATCGGCGATCGAAGTCACCCAATTTGCGTCGGTGTTATTGCCCGCATAATAGCGTTTCAGGGCTGATTGGATCAGAATGCGGGTAGCGATGGTCTTGCAGGTGGTCTCGAGGAGGTCCAAATTGGAGGCAATCTGGCTAGCCTTGATGGTCGCAACGAGTTCGAGGCTTTGTGATCTACTCCAGAGTCAGACTCGTCAGAATATATGAAAGGGTGGTGCATACTGGACTCCCACCACAAATTCATAGGTGGTAAACCACTATGATTGTCAATTGGCTTTTTCCGATCACTGAAGGACGTGACACGATACCGTAGCAATCGCGAGCACAACAACGCCGAGGACAGCTGTCAGAAGCACTAGCAGCCCAAGCTGCACCGCAATTGGAATCCGCATCCGATCACAGCCATCAACTAGCAGAGCAGACCCAAGGACAGGCGATCGTAACGAGGGCAGACAAAGAGGTCTGACACAGCGCAAGATGCATACCTGATCTATGAGTCAACTTCATGAAACCGTGAATGTGTGTGACCTACATGAGATGAATAAATTTGCAAAGATGGAAGATGTCAAAAGGTAAGACATAAGGGGAGGGGGTGTGGAAGTAGTTTCCCAGTCTAGATGTGTCTAGATGCAAAGTGGCGGAGGTCCGAGGTTCACCAAATTCCAAATTGGCAGGTTTTGGTTTCGCAACGTTCAGGCGAAATTTGCCGACTACCTTTGCCATCCCATTGGTCTCGAAAATTGCCCCTTCTCTAACTTTTTTTGGTGAATACTTTCCTCAGGGGAAGTTAACTTATCAACCTTAAGTTCTTAATGTTAACTTAACGTTAAACGTCAATCTTCGGATGACTAATAAACTATATCTAACATAACGTCAGTACTAATGTTAGTATCTACCTACACATCCTTGCTGCCTACCCGGAGCTTACTTCCCGGGTTATTTTCTCATTTTCATTTTTATTTTCATTTCCTATGTTTAGTTGGTCTGGTATTCCACCCTATATAGCTTGTTTAATCCGTCTCTGGTTGTGGTGGTGTGTTCAACGTGGTGGTAGAAAACCTGATTGCAATCGCTTTTGCGGGTAGAGAGTGGATGAAAAGTGTTCTTGTTAAATCACATCAATGGCTAGCAGGTTTGGTCAATCTCTTGGCAACCCTATGGAAGGAATAATGTTGGTGATGATTCAGTACTCTCGATAATATATGATCCAGGCCTAATTGTGCCCAACTTGCCGGACTCGGATAAAACGAAAAGATGGATAATATGATTGTCACAAAATGATCACTGACATATGCGTGACTTTGTTAGATTCAAGTGCTGGCTAATTAAAAAGGAGTGTATTCGACAAGGTTCAAAAGTCAAGACGATAGATCTTAATGGTTCCCGCCCTCAAGGATCAGTCGGCTCTATACAGTGTAGAGATCACCATCACCGAGCTAGGCGAAGGTTCTATCCATTCGGCTGGAGGCTCTCATGGCCTTTACGAGGTGTACTTGCAGCCGTTGGGGTTGGATGTCTCCATAACACGAGCGGCAATGCTAACACAGTTCTCGTTGCCAGCGGGGTTATCAATACCAGCAGAGGCCCAGATGCTCCAGGCACCATCAATGCTGTTGGGGCAAGCGATCAAGTCCTTGCCAGAGAATTGCAGGTGGCCATCCTTCACTGCCCATCCCTTGCGCTGGGAGTTCTTGGGAGCGGGCTGAGCGCCGGTGGTGTATCCGATCTTGCCTTGACCTTTTCTTCAATTAGCTTTGTCGTGATTCATTGGGGAAGAGGGAAACCGTACCCATGCCGGAGGCGTCAACGTAGATCTCTTGAGGAGTGGCAGACTTGTCATAGAGGTAAAGGGCGCCGTCCTTGATATAGAAAGTGGCGTCCTGCTCCTTGGGACGGGCGCAGCTGGCGCCGGGATTGGCCAGACCAGCAAAGATGCTGCTCTGGGAGGCATCAAATGCAGCGTTCTGGACACCGCTACCAGAGTGAATGGCGATAACACCGAAGGTCTTGTTAGACTCGGCAGAGGGGGCGGCAGAGACAGCGGCGCTGACCGAGGCGGCGAGGACGACGTTCTTGAGCTGCATTTTGAAGGTGAAAGTGTGGATTTGCGAATAGACTTGTGAGAGGATGAGAGGATGAGATGAAGATGAGGATGGAATGCTTTTCCTGCAATTGGGCCTACCTTTATACCTGAAGCCTGGGGACGGCAAGACGGGTAATAGACGCCACTTCCGTGCCCGAGGTTGAACCCGAGGTTGATGTCTCACAAATGAGAGCTATTCATGGAGCCAAGTATCGGTGAAAACCGCAAAATGACATCAAATTGGACCCTTATATGGGGCAATTCTATGTTGGTCCAATGTCTCAACATTAGTGCCAGGCGATCTTCCCGCTCCCCTTTTTTTTTCTCATCACACTTTCTATCTTCAAGGGCATGTAACTAATAACGAATTGTCGCGATGCACCGCTTGAAAAGCGTTTCTTGCTGAAGAATACCACTTTACGTGAATAAGATCCTGAAGAAGATCCTGTCATTCCGTGCAGACCTTGAATGCCAAGCGCTCTCCACATGTTTCTCCGACTTACTCATAGCGTCCGAATCAAGCCCAATCATGTTCCAATATTGGATTATGAGACGCTATTAGCGGAGAAACAGGCAGACCTGTTTTGCTGCTCGGTCGCTTTACTTTTTGTGGCTCGAGTCCACTATCCCCAGGTGCCCAGTGGCGGATATCTAAAAATACGCGTTTTAGTGGCTAAGTCGCTGAGACATTCCGCACTTTATTTTTTGCTCAGTTTTGCAAATCGTCGAGTGATCTGCATCGCTATTGATTACTGTATTGTAGCTAATTTGGTCATGTGGTCTATGTGTTCTTGCTAGCTCCAAGCATAGGGATTCTTGCTTCGTATGCAAGAATTTTCCTGGTGTCCTGTCCGTTCTTACTACCTAAGGCCCTAAGTATTTTTACATAGGAATACTCGCCTAAAATAAAATGTGGTCAGTATCATTTGGTGTCTCTAGATAATTGTTTGGCTCCTTGCCTTTTGCAGGCCATGTGCGCCGTAGTTTAAGTGGGCAGTCTGCAATTATGGGTATATATAAGTAATAAAGCTGGGTAGATTGCAGGGGTTTCAGGGGATTTTGTGTCCTCGCATTTATTACTGCTCCAGCTTTCCATTTTCCCTTGTCGCCTGATAGGATGTCTATGTTCCACTGAATGCGAGACACGGGTGGTTTGGACAATAAAATATACAGTACATTTCGCATTGAGGGCTTGTCCTGTCTGCATCTCCACACCTTGCAGTTAGGGTATAAGATTACATCGTTCACTGTGCGTCCAATTGCTGATACTATCAATCTACCCATCCCGTGGGTTATTAGGATACCATGCCCACAGCAACTAGACGATCCGCATCCATTGCTGTTGGACACTTGCATCTCGAGGTGCTGTGAGTGGTAACAGATGTGATAATCGAATCAGCAGATCCCCTGAACTGGTCGTTTCTGCTGACCACGAACTTTGGCCTTCAAACAAAGATATGAATCTTGTATATCGACCTTAGGATAAGTTCGGCTGAAATATCTAAGCGATTGAATTTGTCAACCTTGATCATGGTCTTGGGGTGCCGTCAAGCTCTTCTTCTAAGACAGAGCCCTTTGTGGCACGACAACTCCATTCAGAAGACAATTTCCCTAATTGGAAGGTTTCTAGCCAGGCGCTAGATAGGGCAATCCCAGTTAAATGACGACCTAAAGTCATGCACCACGAAACGTAGAACAGTCTAACGGTTGGAAAGAAGAAAACGCTTTAAATCCCAGGGGTATACGTAGATTGTCGAGTTAAAAGCGTTGGCATAGGTGAAGTCTGTAAATGAGTTCTGCTGCGACTCGCTGATATATGTAAAGGCGGGCTTAATATATATATAACAGCTCGGTGCACAACATATATAGCTGCGTCAGCAAGGCTTGGGCTCTAGACCCAAAGGATTGATGTCTTTCTGTGGATTGTAAACATCACGGCGCGTAGATCAATGATATGTGCAAGACAAACCAGCGCCAATAGTGATGAAGTAGGGAATGATACAACTTGCTGTTCACAGAGCATGGCTGTCCTATCACGCTCTTCGCTAAGTGGCAGCAATCACCTGGGAGTCCACTGCTGCTTTCTGATGCTTTGGAGGGGGGGAAGCTTTTGACTCCACGTTCGGCGGGCATCATCAGGTATTAAAGGAGTGATGAACCACCACCTGATTTCTGAGCCACAGGTTCTATCACCAGGGACCACTTTTGAAGAATCGTAGTAGGCACCGAGCAATAATGCTATCATTTCCAGTGACCTCAAAGGGGCATTACGTATGGATGCAATGTTGATTTCACGTCGGGCCTTGGATTTGCGCTAAGTTCTTTCCAGATCACCAGAAATTCTGTAGGTGCAGTCGGAGGAAATTTATAAATTTAAAAATAAAATTGAGTTATCTAAATGTTAATAAATTGAACTATATATACAGGTTTCGCTTCTAGATCCATGCTTCCGTAGATGATGTATCGTGTAAATGCAATGCAACGCCTAAATCGTAGATTGCTAGGCCGCAAATCATAGTGCTGGCCCCAAAGCGAAGAGTGTTTCTATCTCAGACCAACCAGGGTTGATAGAAGCTCTGTGCAAGCACCAGCTTGAACACGCTCTTCTGTCTTGGGATTGCCAGTAACACAGGGCAAGTCTTACTCAGGAGCAGCACATGAGAAGACACCGCCAACTTCTCCCTTGGCGTATTTGATGACCTGTGGAAGTCGAGTTAGTAAAACAACCCTAATAAAAATACAACGGTAATGTAAGACTTACAATATCATCCACGCTGGAGTATGTTCCACCGACGAGAACCACCATACCGATGATGAAGATGAAGGCGTTGATAATAGCCAAGGCGATGTTCTTCGGCTCACTCCAGCTACCCTTCCGAAGAAGCAAGAACCACATCATGGCAGGGAAGTAGAAGGTGAATCCAGAGATGAAAAGGGCCGAGGAAATGGAGAGCAAATCATTGAAGAAGGGAATGACCTCAGCAATAATGAATGCTACGATGGTTGCGGCTGTAATCACCGCCAGCCATGTCAGCCATCCCATCTTCGTGTTAATAAAGCGAATCGGAGAGTTGGCGAAGATGCGACCGTGAACCAGGCGTCCGAAGACAACGGTGTTAATCGAACCACTGATGAAGATCACGGGAAGGGCAACACCGTATGCAACACGACTCAAAAGCGTTCCAGCCGAAGTGAGGGCGGGACTAGAGACGTCCTGGCCAACAAAGGCGTAGATCAGAGCACCGGTAATCGTGTAGATGAAAATCTCAGTGATGCCAAGCGCCCAGATGGACTTGACAAAGTCCCGTGGCGTGTGCATCTCATCCATGAAGGAGAACTGGCACATGGCGAAGCTGTATGCGAAAACGATGTTGGTGAGAGCGATAAAAGCTTCGGTAAAGGTGACGCCCTCTTTAGGCCAGGCCGACCATTCGACCCCACTGAGTCCGCCGGGGGAATCTCCTGCTTTTATGCCAGTTCCGATGATCGTGATTCCAATGGCGAGGACGATTGAGGCGAAATCGACGTAGCCTAGAATGGCAACCTCGGTGAAACTGGGAGGAATGGCAAGCAACAGCAGAATGATTGCCGAGACAACAGCGAAGACAATTGAGCAAACGCCACTCTTTGTGATGTCCATGAATGCAATGGTTCCGGTCAAACAGTGCGAGGCCGTAAGGAAGATCAGCTGGAGACCCAGCATGGCGTTGACGAGCTCGTATCCGAAACGTCCGCATCCCAACCGACGGCCGAGCAACCGACCTGCATCGGCATAGGTTGCCACCTCGGGGAAGGCCAACTTGACCATTCCCACAATGTAACTGGTATAGATGGCGATGAGGCCGATACCCACACAGCAAATCACACCTGCCACCATGCCCAGCGTCGCAAAGGTAGAAGGAATCGACAAACTACCCAGCGCAATAGCCTCGACGATGAGCACAATGGTGAGGCGCTTCCAGCCGAGACGGCTAAACTTGTTGATGCCGTGGTCGTAGATATTCCTTTCTGCTTCACTCATCTCCCCCACCATGTCCCCTTCAAAAGGCGGCGGCGGGGAGTACGGGGCCTTTTCGCCTTCAGCTCCCATCACCTTGTCGGTTTCATGGTCGTTTGAGATGTTGTCGATGCCCATGATGGTGGTGGTGTACTAAACCAAGGGGAGAGGGAAGAGGGTAGAGGGGGGGCTATAAGAAGGGAAATTTCACAAGTTCTCGAATGCGGCGCTATCGGGAGGCAAAATTGCAGATTTCGTTGACTAAGGGAATTTCGAGAACGCTGCTTGGCCGGTCCACCACGTGGAGTACGACGCTGCTCCACCGAGAGATCGTCTATCCAACGAGGGCGCCGAATGCAGGTTGGGATCGTTCCACACGGGGGGCACTAGGCGAAACTCAGCCCGCGCCCCGTTGATAGAGTCGATAAGAAGGTTCGAGGTTAGGTAAAAGAAATGCAACATCGAGTGGCATTGGATGTCGAACGCTTGGGGACCGGTTTGGAGGGTATGTCACTATGGAGTCTCCCCGCGTTTGAATACGCGGGGAACGTGGAAACCGACGAGAGTCTTCATATTCAATGTGTATATATGTAAATATAACTGATCATAATAGAGATATTGTAGATAAAAAGAAGTTTTTCTTAGTCGCGCCACGATCTTCGGATGATTGCCGGGAAGAGAAAATAATCCAATGAGGGTTGGGCTGGGCGGAAACAAGATTTTGCCCATCACGTGAGTGCCGCAACCAGATATCTTTCGTATAACGTTACTCCAATCTTTCCATCTTTTTCCATGCAAGGGGGCTGATCGTTGGGCAGCTGGGTTTCTCCGATTCTCGCTCATTGCCTTACTTTCAACCTACCGAGTACAATCCTCTCTCCCCAGAAACTCACTCTTGGGGTAAAGGACCTGGAGTGGTGGAGCGCCACCAACGCCATTAGGTTTAGCCGTGCCGGCCGGGGAAAATAGCGCAAAATAACCATGGCATGATTCGCTGTGCCGTCCGAGACTTGCGGGTAGCCCTGTCTGGCTACGCTGAATAACATGGCTATAATTGCCTCGAAAACCCTCCTCCAACTGCCCCAGACTCCGTCCGGGGTCTTTGTACGTAATAAACCCCCATTCCCCGACTTCCATAGATGCAGAGATGCAGAGTACACTTGCACATCTTCATGTTTGGAAACACTATTCAGCCCGGGGACTCCACTCAATCTCACCATGCGGCATTTTTTTGTCGTGCGTTATCTTCGGGTGATTATTGTCGTCGTGTACGCCAGCCGCATGCCTGACCGTTCCATATTTCGCGCACTCCCACTTCCGACTCTGGTGATAGTGGTTTCCAGGTGGAGCCCCAGTTGCTGTACGTCCCTTAGCCGCGCCTCAATGAATGCCAGCTGTACTCCCCGGCCACGGTATTCGGGCAATGTACTATCCAGGTAGAGGTGAGCTGTCTTTCCCATACGTGTTTGCATAATCGCAAGAGCAGTGGTTGCCGGCTATCCGATTGTCGATTTTGGCCAAATACAGACGCGTGTCCTCCTTTGTTGTCACGATCCTCGTAAGTGCATCAAGTAGTTCCCGCGAACGCCCGTTGTCCTGGAATCCAGCAATGGAAGCTTCGAGACCCTCTTCCGTCTCATTCCGTGCTGCTTCGGCGACGATCACTCGGTTGGTAATCCCTGTTTTGCTCTCTTCGTTCCCTCTGCCATCGAGGAAGGCTGTTTCTGTACCGAGGACAATTTTCCTTGTATAATCACTGGACGACAGGACTTGGATAGCAGATGAATGCGCGAGTGGGCTCAGATGCACCTCACATGCAAGTCCCACCCCTGCCAACACGGTCTCCAGCTGCTTCAGATCTGCTTCCAACCCTCGGTCTCGCCTCCAAACACCAACGGCTCAGTTCAACTTTCACTGGAATAGTTCCAATGTCCGGGTGACGACGCTTCCGCTTGGGACCGCTTGGACAGTAGTTTCATCCGGGAAGAGCTGCCGACAAGTTTCGGCTTGCCGACGGATGTGAATCGCTTCTGTCTCTTCACATTGCTGTGTTGGAGTGATGACCATGTTGAAGAGTCGGGTGTGTCTCGATCGGCCAAAAGTTGGTTAACAAGAGAAAAGTGAAACAAGGTCTTCCAGCAATGGTAATATTGTGCCAGTTGGGCAGATATGTGTCTATGCCCCAGGGCAGGTGGGCAAGTCGACCTCTTGACTCATGACCTCAGTCACATGAGGCAACTAGTCCTGTTGGAAGTTCAGGAAACAAGATATAATTTTCTTCTATTCTGTCTAGAGGTGCAATTGACAAATCAGAACACCAGCAAGTCTCGGGTTCTGTCAATGCATATCCCAATCTCGACGCGAGACCAATCCCTCGGAGAACCCGGACTAGCATTCCTGCTTCAAACACTCGGCTATGGATTGTCCAACGTACTCTACATTTCCATCGTTGAGACCGGCAATGGAGATCCTAGAGTTGTCTGCCATATAGATGTGATATTGCTCTGTGGTCCTCAGAGTGTCAGCATACGAGCATCATCGATTTTAAGGAGAGAACGAACCGCGCAGTCGAAGGACGACACTGGGGGACAGTCCCAAGAAACCAAACATCCCAGATTGGCGAATTAGATGCTCCCAGGACCCCGGTGCGCCTGGCCATGTTAGCGTGATTGCTTACTTTATTCCAGGAGACTTACCCGTTGCCACCAACTTATCATACAGTGCCTTTCTCATAGATCGAATGCGGTCACTCATGGTGATCAGATCGTCATACCAAGCCTGCCGCAGGGTAGTACTAGATAATATGGTGTTCGCGATCTTCGCGCCATAAGCCGGTGGATTTGAAACTTCGGATCGCTGAAGCATTTCGAGCATTGATTGAGTGTTCACGGCCGCTTGCTCGGTATTTGTCGCGAGCAAGAAACAACCAACTCGCTCCCCTAATAGATGTTGTAAGATTTCATTCTGTACGTCGGGCTCGGGTTCCTACCATAGAGACCCATATTCTTCGCAAAGGACAGACAAACTCCAGCTTCTAATCCTGTTTTCTCAATGAACCATCGGATGGCAAAAGCATCGCTGTCGACATTGCCCGAGTTGAAGCCGAGATAGGCAGCGTCAAACAGAGGGAACAGCTGTCTTTCTTTGAATAGGCGCGCAAGCTCTCGCCATTGCTCCTTGCTCGGGTCACACCCGGTCGGGTTATGAGCGCACGCATGAATAATAACCACAGAGTTCGGTTCAGCCGATTTCAATGTCGCATAATAGGAATCAATATCCACGTCTCTAGTCTCGGGGCTGTAGTATCTAAAACTTTCGCATTGGAATCCAAGTGATGAGAACACCTGGTGGTGGTTAGACCAGGTCGGCTCAGGGACGTATATCTTTGGCAAAGGTGTCTTGCATGCTCGTAGCAATAGCCCAGCAAGATGCAGTGCTCCAGTGCCGGAGAGACTTTGGCACGTAGCGAGCTGTTCTGGATTAGCCCCTTGCTGCGGAAATGGCGGGTTGTGCATACTTGCTTCTGTTTCTTTGCGAACAGCTCATCGCCCAATGCCAGTCTCGCAGCCTCTTTGCGAAACTCTGTCAGACCGACAATTGGAAGATACTCGTGGGCCAGCCCCTGCGATGATAATAGCTCTCGGCTTTTATTAACCGAGGGAAGAACCCATGGACTTCCATTCTTGTCTCGGTATGTTCCTTGGCCTAGATTGACCTTATAAGGAGACGTATCTGCGAGATACTGAGCCGTCAAAGCAAAGATCGCATCGGGCGGGATAAAGCGAGCCCGGTCAAACCACGATTGCGTGAGGGTTTGTGTTTCAGTGGCCATTTTGCAAATGTTCCTCGAAGTGGAAGTTGGGCGAAGCAAGGGCATTTTAAGATGAAGCCGTTAGGATGAAGGAGATCCCGGGTCGCAGGCCGAGTTGCTTTCTCCTCGTCATTTCCCCTCATCCTTTTCTGCCCTCGGAAGAGAAACCGAACAAATATCAGATGAGCAGTGTTGATGATCGGGTTGATGGCCCGAAGGTGGACTTCTAAGTAAGTGTGGGGTGCTTCGGTATTGGCATCCGACTACTTGCCCCTCATCGATGTTTATAAGTAAAAGAGTCAGGGAGTTGGGGAGTCAGAGTCAGAGTCAGAGTCGAAATTCTCACCATTACATATCTTCATACTTCCATCATGGGTGCTCACTCTGTTGCCTCTCAGCCTCATGTACCCTCGTCCGGGGTCTGGTGTCCTGCAGTCACCTTCTTCCACCACGGCACCGACTCACTAGATCTAAAATCTCAATCCAAGTACTTCGACTATCTGTCCACAACTGGGTTGACGGGTCTGGTGATCTTGGGCACCAACTCGGAAGCTTTCCTCCTCACTCGCGAAGAGCGATCTCAGTTGATTGCGACAGCGCGTGCAGCCGTGGGCCCTGATTTCCCGCTGATGGCCGGGGTTGGTGCACACTCGACCAAACAAACCCTGGAACTCGCCCAGGATGCTGCCGCTGCTGGCGCCAACTATCTGTTGGTCCTCCCTCCGGCGTACTTCGGCAAAGCAACAAACATGAATGTGGTCAAGCGCTTCTTTTCCGAAGTGGCCGCAAAGGCGCCTCTCCCTGTGGTGATCTACAATTTCCCCGGCGTCTGTAATGGAGTCGACATCGACTCTGAGACCATTGCCGCTATTGTGCAAGAGTCGGCGTCATCCCACCCAAGTGGACAGTCCAACGTGGTCGGCGTCAAGCTTACTTGTGGATCTGTCGGAAAGATTACTCGACTGGCAGCGACATTTGCGCCCGGCACCTTTGCGACCTTTGGTGGGCAGTCCGACTTCTTGATTGGAGGACTTGCTGCAGGAAGCGCTGGGTGCATCGCAGCTTTCGCCAATGTCTTCCCCAAAACCGCAGCTCGGATCTATGCATTGTACCAAGAGGGACAGGTGGATGAGGCTATGAAGCTACAAAGAAAGGCAGCCCTCGCAGAAAGCCCTATCAAGAGCGGAATTGCATCCACTAAGCATGCGGTAGCATGCTATTCAGCCCAACTCGCAGGGATCCAGGATGCGGCGACAAACCTGGGCCCCCGACACCCTTACGAAGAGGTGGGTGAGGGTGCCAAAACGGCGATCCGAACTGTGATGGCAGAAGTCGGTGAGATTGAGAAGAGTCTGTAGGAAGAACTTATAGTATATAAATCTAGAAATAGACATTAAGTACAACAGATCTCATTCATGTTACCCTAGCAACTATAATCTCACTATAGATTGTTTAGATCAATTCTGAACCAACTTCAGCCTCAGCTCAGATATTGATTCTGTTGAAGAACACAAAATGGGCTTTTCTGGCCCCTGAGGCCGTTTGCTCCCTCCGGTCTCTATCGGGGCTTCTCTCGTTACAACGGCTAAAAGCAGCGTTAAATCATATCCATGCATCGTGACTCTTATCAACCAAATAAGGATTGTGGTATACAGCCAACTTTGTGTAAGAGGTTGTCTTGTATCGCCTCGAACAAAGATGTATCGGAGGTCCACGAATGCGCGTTCCAGGCTCAGAGTAGGCATATCTGCCAAGATGCGCTGCTATGTTGAGGGTTTGGATAATTATGCAAAGCAAATAGAAATACATGTACTCTGTCGCAATAGAAGCCAGTTATTGTACATGTATAAAAACAAATGAACCTCGGCTAAAACTCTTCCACCAATTAGGCCCATCGGCGAGGCCGAGAGATTACTGATCGGGCCGAGTGTGTGGGCCGAGTGTCGGGACCTAAGCTGAACAGCCAATAGATGAGGCTGTTCAGCTCTTTTTTTGGCGATTTTTTCTTTTTCTTGATAGCAAAATACTGCTTGATGGGTCCACTTCTTATATCTCACCACCCTAATGCAGCAGTGTCTCCGGGCTGATACTTGGTGGATCATACTATGGAGTACGTTATTATAACACAAAATTAGGACTCTCTGCCGAGGTCTAGGACTTTTCTCTCTTTTTAAAAAATCTCTTGAGCCCCTCGTTTTAACAAGCTCACTCAGCTATACAGCTATACAGCTGTCGATCATGGCCTCAGAGATGCCCTTGGCCAAGAACCTGCAGCTCCCGCAGAAGGTTCCTTTCTGGCGACTTGTTACCGACCCCGGCGTGATCACCCAAGATGTGGCAGACTATCTTTACGCCGGATCAGGAACTGAAGATGATCCATATGTGGTTCAGTGGCTTCCTAACGATTTTCGAAATCCTCTCCAGCTGAAGCCCGCTTTGAAATGGCTCATCACTGTCGTCGCCGCCCTCGAGACACTAGTTGTCGCTCTAGTCTCGTCGGCATACACCGGAGGCATTATTCAAATCGAAGAACAATTCGGAGCGACAACGGAGGTTGCGACTTTGGGTGTATCACTCTACGTGCTCGGATTCGCCTTGGGTCCCCTCCTGTGGGCTCCCATGAGCGAGCTTTTCGGCCGTCAATCTGTCTTCATTACCACGTACTGCGGGCTGACTATCTTTTGTGCTGCCTGTATTGGCGCGAAGAACATTGAGAGTCTGCTGGTCTTCCGGTTCTTAGCCGGTGCTTTTGGTTCCTCGCCTTTCACCAACTCTGGGGGTGTCATTGCCGACATGTTTATGGCCCGCGAGCGAGGTCTGGCTCTGTCGGCATTTGCATTAGCACCCTTCCTCGGACCCGTCATCGGACCTATCGCCGGTGGATTCCTCGGTATGGCCGCCGGATGGAAATGGGTCATGGGCCTGTTGACTATCCTCTGTGGTGTGATGTGGTTCTTGGGAGCCGCATTGAAGCCCGAGACTTATGCCCCCGTTCTCCTACGTCAGCGCGCGAAAACTCTCTCTAAACTGACCGGCCAGGTTTACTACAGCAAACTGGACATTGATCAGGGACGTGTCACTCTCAAGGCTGCCATGAAGACTTCTCTCTCGCGGCCTTTTATCCTTCTGTTCCGCGAACCTATCGTTTTGCTGCTCTCAATTTACCTTGCTATCATCTACGGAACCCTCTACATGCTTTTCGGTGCATTCCCAATTGTGTATGAGCTTCATCGTGGATGGAACCAAGGTGTTGCTGGTCTCGCCTTCCTTGGTGTTATGGTGGGTATGCTATGTGCTATCGCCTATTCAATTCCTGAAAATTCGCGCTATATCAAACTCCTCGATAAAGAGGGAGGTTACGCACCTCCGGAGGCCCGTCTTCCGCCGTGTATGTTGGCCTCGCTTGCCCTTCCGATTGGACTCTTTTGGTTTGCGTGGACCAATTCTCCCTCAGTCCATTGGCTTGCGAGCATTGCTGCTGGGGTTCCATTTGGATTCGGAATGGTGCTCGTCTTCCTCAGCGTCTTTAACTATTTGATTGATGCCTACACCATCTTTGCAGCTTCTGTCTTGGCTGCCAACTCCCTCCTCCGGTCCATGTTCGGCTTCGCATTCCCGCTATTCACCTCATACATGTTTAAGAACCTGGGAATCCACTGGGCGTCTTGTATTCCGGCCTTCCTGGCCCTTGCGTGCGTGCCGTTCCCCTTCTTGCTTTACAAGTATGGTCTTTCCATTCGAAAGCATTGCAAATACTCTGCCGAGTCCGAGGCCTTTGTTCAGGGCATCCTCCAGGGCATGCAAAAGGTCACAGAGGAGACTTCCGACAAGGAGGGACCCGAAATTTACCACCCCCGAGAGCACGAAGCGGCTTCGATTTCCCAGGCAAAGGAACAGATTTCAGCAGATGTCCAGTCTGTTCACCGCACACTCTCACGCACATCCACCCACACTATACATGCACACCGGGTCCCTACGTACGAGGCCAATCCTTATAACATTGACCGCGTGCATACCCGGGAATCATTCAAATAATTCCGAGGATATATTGGGAAGAAGGACACTGGCGTTTTGGGGGACATTTAAGTATAAAATATGGGCGATGTGACATGTCTCTTTGCTGCATTGGCTTGGGTTGCATATATAGATAGCGTTGGCTAATAATTATAATTGGTTTCCATATTCAGGGATTCAACTGGAAATGTGCAAGCACTTCTTTAGTGCTGTAGTTCTGCCAACGTTAGACTGGATAATTGGCCTCAGCAGTCTATTAATAGCTGGTACAGGCGAGGAAAGGAGATATACCTCTTGACAGCTGCTACTATACGCATCTTATTGGTCAATATAAAGAGGCTAGTCAGTTGTGGCCATCCGATTGTGGCGCTGTAAAGCTGCAGAACAATGTCATCGGATGGGCATTATCTCGAGTTACAAGTCGGCTTTGCATATCTCTTCAATCCGCTTTCATCAATCTGTCAGTGCGAAGGGAAACGTATCTGGACTGTTCCATCTAAGACTTGTACATGTACTAGATAACATAACGTCAGGATGGCAACGATCATGTGGAGTATCTGCATGACAGTGGATTCCGGGGATATCCGATCGGTCCATTGATCGATCGTCTGCTTTTCCATCGTCTGGCGATAAAGTGAGTTGAAACAAAGGAGTTAGAGGCTGTATACGCATGGCAATCTTGACACTAAAAAGCCGTCCATCTACACTATACCATATGTAACCCTTGTAAGACTGGTCAAAATACATCTCGCACTTGGCTTGGGCGGTCGCAAAGATCCGTAAATTTGAACTGACATTCTCTACCTTAATGTATCCCGTTCGTGGCTCCGTTAAGCACTCCATTGGCGAGCCCGTTGGGCAATGCGTTGGTTGTTCCATTCGTTATGCTGTTGTTCACGCCATTGGAGATGCCATTCTTTAAGCCGTTCGAGAGGCCGTTGATCTTATGGAGAGGCACACCCGGTGGTATTCCGCAGGACACGCTGCTCCTCTTCCGGGCTCGCTCC